TCAGCAGCAACTGCAGCTCAGTAGCTCGGTGACTCGGCGGCTCGGCGGCAGGGCGGCTCGGCAGCAACTGCAGCTTAGCAGCTCAGCGACCCGGCGGCTCGGCGGCAGGGCGGCTCGGCTGTGGGGCGGCTCGGCTGCTGCAGGGGAGATGAAGGAGGAGGAGAAGCAGGGGAGGCCACACACCTGCCACCCCTCTGCTGGCCTCTCAGGTCGCCTCGACAGGCGACGGGAAAAGGGGGGGGTGGGTGGTGGGGGGCCGGTAGGTGCAGCGGGGGGGCCAGCAGGTGCAGTTGCGGGGCCAGTAGAAGGGGACGGCAGGAGCCGTCAGGAGGGGACGGCGGGGCCGTCAGGAAGGGACGGCGGGGCCGTCAGGAGGTGACCGGGCCGCGACGGGGGCAGGCGGCGGGGCCGCGTAAGGGCCTGGGCGGGGCCGCGACAGAGCCGTCGGCGGGGCCGCGTGAAAGCCGGGGCGGGGCCGCGTAGAAGCCGGGGCGGGGCCGCGCGAGAGCAGGCGGCGGGGCCGCGAAGGAGCCGGGGCGGGGCCGCGTGAGAGCAGGCGGCGGAGCCGCGTAAGGGCCTGGGCGGGGCCGCGACAAAGCCGTCAGCGGGGCCGCGTGAAAGCCGGGGCGGGGCCGCGTAGAAGCCGGGGCGGGGCCGCGCGAGAGCAGGCGGCGGGGCCACAAAGGAGCCGGGGCGGGGCCGCGTGAGAGCAGGCGGCGGAGCCGCGTAAGGGCCTGGGCGGGGCCGCGACAAAGCCGTCGGCGGGGCCGCGTGAAAGCCGGGGCGGGGCCGCGTAGAAGCCGGGGCGGGGCTGCGCGAGAGCAGGCGGCGGGGCCGCGAAGGAGCCGGGGCGGGGCCGCGTGAGAGCAGGCGGCGGGGCCGCGACAGAGAGGGCGGCGGGGCCGCGTCAGTGAAGGCGGCGGGGCCGCAGGGGAAATGGCGACCCGAGGGGTCGCTAAAAAAAAAGATCGCGCCTCGGGGGGCGCTTCGGTGGGCCCAAAAAAAAACGGTCCGTAGAAGGACCCGCTCTGATACCATGTGAGAATAAGCGAACAGGAATGAATGAACTAGCAGTGAAATGAGTACAAGTAGGAAACCCTAGAATTGTGTACCCCCTATAGGCTAACCCACTGTAGCCTACACAAGCATAACATATATAATGTTTGACATCCTTCCCTCTCCCCGCCGCCGCACTTCCTTGTGCCAGGTCCCCCCCCGGTAGACCCCCTTCCCCCTCAGGGTCCTGCCCCTTCAGGTGTGTCCCAGGTTGAAGCAGTCGAGCCAGTCGAGGTTGCTGGTGACTCTGGTACTGCTGCGGGTGCTGAGCCTGGGGGTGCTGACTCTGGGGGTGCCGTGCGCGTGGGTGCTGAGCCTGGGGGTGCTAAGTCTGGGGGTGCTGCGAGTGGGGGTGCTGAGCCTGGGGGTGCTGAGCCTGGGGGTACTGTCACTTGGGGTGCTGAGCCTGGGGGTGCTGAGTCTGGGGGTGCTACATCAGAAGCTGCTGAGCCTGGGGGTGCTGCGTCTCGAGCTGCTGAGCCTGGAGGTGCGGAGCCTGCCGCCGCTGGACCTCCCCTTGTGGCGTCTAGCGGTGTTGGGCCTGGAGGTTCTCCGGGTGCTCCGTCTCGGAGGGAGCCACTCTCTCCACAGGAGTGGTTTGCTAGCCGCTGGAGGCGCACTGCTGGAGCTGAGAGTGCTGGTGGTTTGCTTGCCACCTCCTCCACTCGCGCGAGTGGTTTGCTAGCCGCTGGAGGCGCACTGCTGGAGCTGGAGCTTCTTCGGCCGCTGAGAGTGCTGGTGCCGCTGGTCCCGGAGCTGCTGAGCCTGCGGGTCCTACTGGAGCTAGTGCTGCTAAGGGTGTTGGTGCTGAGACTACTACTGTCTGTCCTGGCGGTGGTCCTGCTGCGGGTGCTGCTGGAGGTCCTGCCGCTAGAGGTGCTGTTGACGCTGGTGCTGCAGCTAAGGGTGTTGGTGCGGTCCCTCCTGTGTCTGGTGTCCCCGCACGGCCTCGGCTGTACTTCGTTCCGCTCCTGCAGCAGGTTTTTGGTCTCTCTCCTCCTGTAGAGTGTCCACCGCCTGTCCAGTCACGGTCATTGTTAGAGCCCGCCTCCCCGCTGCCTGCTCCCTCTCCTTACACTGGTCCTACTGGAGGTCTAGCTGAGCGTCGTGAGCCTGCGTCTCGTCCAGCGTCGCCTGTTCGTGCTGCTCGTGCTAGTGGTCGCGGTTCGCGTCAGCGCCCTCCTCCTGTCCCTGGCACACACCGGATATCTCTGCGTCCGTCCAGTGCTCCTCTACGTGCCCCTTTGCCTTCTCCTCCTGAGTCCTCTCTTCCTGCGCTTGCCGACCCGGAGTCGGACTCTCTTCGTGCTGCCAGTCCTACTCTCACGCGTCTTCTTGCTACTGTTGTCACTGACCCCTCTTTTGAGTCCACTGCTGCGTCTGCTCTGGTTGCTGAGCTAGTCGGCTTTGCTGCTTGCTGTCGCCTGGACTACGCTGCTAGTCTCGTTGCTGAGTCTGCGTCTGTCTGTCCTCCGTCCGTCAGGGGTGGATGTGCTCTTGGCACGGACGTCCTTGAGGACAGGCAAGAGGATTTCCAGTGTCTGGCTGCTGCTTCACCTCATCTCGCGTCTGTACTACTTGCCCCTGAGGGAGACCCGGATGCACTAGACATCCCGACTCCGCGTTCTTACGTGGAGGCCGTAGAGGGTCCCTACTCCTCTCAGTGGCAGGCAGAGATGGCTTCCTAAAAGTCCACAGGCACCTACGTTGACGCGGTTCCCCCTCCTGGGGCGAACATCGTCAGTGGCATGTGGATCTTCAGGGTGAAGCGGCCGCCTGGCTCTCCACCTATCTTCAAGGCGCGGTACGTCGCTCGTGGCTTCAATCAGCGGCAGGGAGTTGACTACTTTCAGACCTTCTCTCCCACCCTGAAGATGACCACTCTTCGGGTGCTGCTGCACATAGCCACTCAGCGCGACTACGAGCTTCACTCTCTTGACTTCAGCACTGCTTTCTTGCAGGGCAGCCTGCACGAGGAGATCTGACTGCACCGTCCACCTGGCTTCACTGGGACTTTCCCTCCTGGCACCCAGTGTAGCCTCCGACGGCCAGTCTACGGTCTCCGCTAGGCACCGCGTGAGTGGCACGACACACTGAGGACTACGCTTGCGGCTCTTGGGTTTGCTCCCTCTACTGCTGACCCGTCGTTGTTTCTGCGCACCGACACCTCTCGATCGCCGTTCTACATCTTCGTGTACGTCGACGACTTGGTCTTTGCCACAGCTGACACTACTGGAATCACCTACGTGAAGTCCGAGCTGCTGAAGAGACACACGTGCACAGACCTGGGTGAACTGCGCAGCTACCTTGGCTTGCAGATCACCCGGGACAGAGAACGCCGCACCATTACCCTGACTCAGTCACACATGGTGCAGCAGGTCCTCCAGCGCTTCGGCTTCACGTACTCCTCGCCTCAGGCCACTCCTCTGTCTACTCGCCAGTCGCTCTCAGCTCTGCCTTCGGATGAGTCCGTAGTGTCGAGTGGCCCGTACCCAGAGATTGTTGGCTGCCTCATGTACCTGATGACCTACACACGACCTGACCTTACATACCCTCTTAGCATTCTTGCACGCTATGTTGCTCCTGGGAGACACCGACCAGAGCATATGGCTGCAGCGAAGAGGGTGTTGCGCTACTTGTGCAATACGTCGAGCATGGGGCTAGTGCTTGGAGGGCGGAGTCCAGTGGTCCTCACTGGGCACGCGGACGCTTCTTGGGCTGACAACCAGGCTACGCAGCGGTCGTCACAGGGCTACACCTTCAGTCTTGGTTCCGGCTCTGTCTCGTGGCGGGCTACTCGCTCGTCTTCTGTTCTCAGCTCCAGTTGTGAGGCTGAGATCTACGCCGGGGCCATGGCTGCACAGGAGCTTCGTTGGCTCACCTACCTACTGACTGACCTTGGAGAGCCGCCTCGTTCTCCTCCAGTGCTGTACGTAGACAACAAGGCCATGCTGGCCTTGTGTCGAGAGCAGCGCTTGGAGCACAAAACGAAGCATATTGCTCTCCGTTACTTTCTTGCTCGTGAGCTGCAGCAGCGTGGTCAGTTGCGACTTGCGTACGTGGCCTCTGAGGCCAACACTGCTGATGTGTTCACCAAGGCACTTGCGCCTTGTGACCATCAGCGCTTCTGCACTCAGCTGGGTCTTGTACCTGTTTTGCCTCACTTGCTCTCCTCTTGACCTTGCTTGTACTTTCACATATATATACCTGCTCTTGCTTGTCTAGCTCTATATATATATGTGTAATCTTGCATGTGAACTGGCCTTGTGGCCTGGTCGTTGTGCTCGGACTGTGTGGTGACTTTGTGATCCACCCTGAGCTTGCTCTGCTTTGCTTGACTAGTCTTGTGACCCCTTGTTCTCCCCCACTTTGCCTATGGGGGTGTGTCAGAACATTATATAGCTTATGCTGTTGTGTAGGCTATAGTGGGGTATCCCATAGGGGGTACAACCCAATCAGGGTTCCTATATGTACTCACTTCATTCATAGTTCATTCATTCACGTTCTTCTTTTCACAGCGGCCGCCGCCGCCGTCTCTCCAGCAGCGGCCGCCGCCGCCGTCCCTGAAGCAGCGGCCGCCGTTGCCGCCTCCTACAGCGGCCCGCCGTCGCCGCCTCCTGCAGCGGCAAACACCGCCGTCACTGCAGCAGCAACCGCCACTGTACCTGCAGTAGCCGTGCCGCCCGAGCTGCCGAGCCGCCGTTCGAGCCAAGCCGCCCGAGCCACCGAGCTGCCCGAGCCGCTGAGTCGCCGAGCCGTCGAGCTGCTGTTGGTGCCGAGCCGCCGAGCCGTCCGAGCCGCCCTGTCTGCTACACCCGGTCACTACCGTCGCGGCCTTGTTCCTGCCGACGAGCCTCAGTCCTTCTCGCCTGCCCGGTAAGAGCGGCACCTCTACCACTGCGCTGCCCTTAGCCTACTGCTTGCGCTGCTAGTCTACTACTGTCATGGCTACCCCCAGTGTCCTCGCTTTTGACGCTGAGGGTAGGGCCATTGACATTGACGCGAGGGTAGATGACCTGCAGCTTTTCCTACAGTGCGATAGGGCAGACGGTCTCTCCCTCTTTGACCTCACTTCTGGTGCCTCTCCTGCCCTTGCTGCTGATGGTGACGCCACTGTTCGCTCACAGTGGGCCACGCGCGATGCTCCTGCACGTCTTGCTGTGCGTCGCCACTTGCCTACCTCTAAGCGTGCGCACTTTAGCCAGTACAAGGGTGCTAAGACCTTGTACGACGCTATAGTTGCACGCTACTCTTCCCTTGCCACTGCTGCACTTAGCCGCCTCATCCTGCCGTACCTCTTCCCTGACCTCGCAGCATTTCCCGCGGTCGCTAACCTCATTACACACCTTTGCACTAGTGACATTCGCTACCGCGCTGCCCTTCCCGCTGAGTTCTGCGCCAAGAAACCCCCCCCCCCCTATGTACATCACCCTCTACTACATAGTCACCCGCCTCCCTGACACCCTTCGCCCGGTCAGGGACCACTTTCTCTCCGTTTGCCCCACCACCCTCACCGTTGACCTCCTCGAGGAGCGCCTCCTAGCAGCGGAGAAGAGCATGGTCGTTGTAGGAGTCTCTCGTGGTGACCCTCGTGCCCCTGTCTTTGAGGGGTGCTCCCCCTCTCCTCTCTTGCCCTCTGTTGCCTTTGCTACTGCGGCGGACCTTGTTGGTCTTGAGTCGGTCGGTGCAGCGTCTGCCCCTAGCGAGAGACGCCGCACTGGCAAGGGCAAGGGGGGCAGGGGCGCTAGAGGAGCTAGCGGGGGCGGTGGAGGCGGTGGTGGAGGCGGCGGAGGGGGTGGGGGTGGCGGTGGGAGTGGTGCCGAGGGTGGGGGCGTTGGTGGCGGCAGTGGAGGCGGAGGCGGCGGCGGCGGTGGCGGAGGTGGCGGCAGTGGAGGAGGCGGCGGCGGAGGAGGTGGAGCTGGTCGGGGTGGCGCTGCGCAAAGGGTAAGCTCCGGTGGTGGTCAGCGCCAGCAGCATCAGCAGCAGCGCACTCGTGAGAATCCCCCCCCCCCCTCAGCAGCTTCGTGAGTGGTACGCTGCACGCCAGCGGGGTGGGGGTACTGGTCCGTGCACCTACGTCCTACGCACCGGCGACCGTGCGGGTGAGCCGTGCGGGGGTGCGCACTCCACCCAGCGCTGCGTTGGCTGCCTGACGGACGCCTGGCGTCACCAGTTCCCTGAGGCCACTGAGATCCCTCGATGGGGCGAGCTGTCTAGGGCGGGAGTAGCTATCTTTGACCTTGACTTTGATGCTATTCTTGCTGCCATGTATGGTGTGACTATTACTGATGAGGGTGACTGTTACCGGTGTTTTCCGCCCGACACGGGCATTGGGACTGGTGCTCCAGGTACTGGTGAGGCCGCTCCTCTAGGTGCTAGCGAGGCTGCTGCTCTAGGTGCCAGTGCGTCTACTTCTTCAGGTGCTGGTGAGTCTGCTCTATCAGGTACTGCGTCGGCTTTGGCCTCCCACACCTTCACCCTTGACTCGGGGGCTTCTCGCTCCTTCTTTCGAGACCGCACCACACTCACGCCGCTTGGTCGGCCAGTTGCATTCTCTCTGGCAGACCCCTCCGGGGGTCCTGTCCTTGCTCACTTCTCCACTGTCCTCCCGTGTCCGGCGGCCCCCTCTGGCAACCTGTCTGGTCTTTACTTCCCCTCATTCTCTACGAACTTGGTAAGTGGTGCTGACCTGCAGGATGCGGGGGTTCACCAGTTCACTCCTGCGAGCCAGCGAGTGACCCACTGCACGGAATTCGTGCCCCACACCCATCGCCAATGTTGCCTCCAACCAATTCCCCCTCCCATCACCTATCTTCACCGCATTGCATCTATCTCATCCAACCAATTTGATATTTGAAATTTGTACACTCGTCACGTCACTTCCAGTCCAGATCTAAAAGACGTTGATATAGGGAGAGTCTTTCCCCCCATCCCTTCTGCGGGACTCTGATAACGTTGTGGCGGAGTTCCGAGTGCGTTTGCCCCATGATCCGAGGCCTTGGATCCGTGTGCTCCGGATTCCGAAGGGCTTGGGCGCAAGGCTCCGCCGCATACGACAAGGCCAGCCGCTCACAATTCCGCGCCCACCTGACCGTGAAAGATGTGTTCCAACCAACCTGCCCGTGACCCTTTGTGCCAGTGATTTCATGGGTATGATATTTTTCGCCATCGTAACTCTTTGGCCGACAAGTGACGACCGCCGGTTGCATGGCCGGTTGCGACCAACTGGTCTTTTCTGCGTGGTTATATGCTTTAACCCGGTTTTTTTTTCATGGCTCCAGCCTTAATGCTGCAGAAGGTGTGTTCCTTTATACCATTGATTTTATGTGTTTTATGAATAACATGAGTATAAGTGTAGCATCCTACATTTGCTCATTGTGTTTTATAGTCATTGTTTACCAAGTGTAGGTGTTCTGCACACGTGGCCATGGCAACAGTTGTTCTCAGAGTCCCAAGGCTGCAAGAGCCAATAAGCGTCGTGTAGGGAACTTTTTTTTTTGGCGGGAGAATCATCCAGCCCAGGGTTGGATGACCAGATCTGGACACGGGCTTCTGTGTGTGTGGTGGATGGGTATGAATGGATGTTTTTGTGCTCATTTGCTCCTTTTCATTTGCATTTCATGCTCCGCAAGCTCTATGACATCTTTTCATCCAGCACCTGTTAGTCCACCAGCGTAGTCTTTTAAGCTTGCTTGGCCCACTAGCAGAACATTGGCGTCCTCGACGTAGTGACGTAGGTCGTATAGAGTGGGTTTTTTTATTTTGGGTCAGCCCGGTTAGGATAACTGCAGTCACACTTGTTAGGTCGCTTATTTAGGCGCAGATCTGTGTGGTAGAATATTTTGTCGGTAGAACTGTTTGTATTTGCCCGGAACAATTGTCGTAGGTCGCCCGCTCTTGTAGCCGGACATCTTCGACGTTAGGCTTTTTTATTGGTAGAAGTATTCGCTCCCAATCCATAATATCGTCGAACCCACGAAAGTTATGTACAAGCATAAGGGTTCCGTAGATGATTATATCCGTATAATGGTAGGAACTTATTTTCGTTGTTTCGTTGTAGAGAATTAAAGCGGTAGAACAAAAGGTGACAGAGCGGTCATCGAGAGACAGGCCATGGCGGAGCAGGCGGCTCACAAGCAGGAGCGCATCATCGACTGTCCAATGGCTGGAGACATCCAGCGTTAGAGTCATCACTCTGCTAGAGACCCTGCTGTTCATCTGCAAATGTGACGCACCGATTGAGATGTGGGTTCAATTGGTTCGTCACTTTGCAGAGCGACAGACACCAGGCTTCCCCAAGAACGGCTACGGTGCTTATTATACCAGGTGAGCCGTTGATCAACAACAGCTGCTATACTCGAGAACCTTAGCACGGAGGTTGCTCACAACAAGCACAGTGTTTTTTATACTCGGTACCTTTTTCCCATTTATGCAGATACGGGTTTGCCGAGCTCATCGCAAGCACTGCTGCATATCTCCGTGCTCGTCAGCAAGTCTGGTTGCAGTCCAGTCCATTCATCGGAATAACCTGTGACGAGAGTACATATCGTGTGCATGTCAAACACCAGATCGTGTTTGCCACGTTTCTCCGTGAATCTCGTGCAGTCACGGAGTACATCGGTCTACTGACGGTGGAGAAATGCGATGGCGCTTCTCTGCTTTTCGTGTTGGTGACCCTCCTTGACTCTCTTGGAATCGACAAGAGCAGGGTCGCCGGGATTAGCACGGATGGCGCTGGTGCGATGATGGGTAGCACAACGGACTGGTGGCTCGGGTGCGTGTAATGGCCCAGCACCTTTTCTCCAGCCATTGCGTAGCACATCGGTGAGTATTACTCATTGCCAGTGTGTGTTGCATCTAAATGCCCATCTCATTGCGCAGAAAGTGTAAGGCAGTGTAAGGCAGGCATGCGCTCACATGATGTACAGCTAATGCCATTTCCCGCTCTTTATATTTCCTCCTCCCCTTACAGCAACGGCCCGCAAAAACAGTCTATGCAAATCCTCCCTCCTTCAACCAAATCTGCCCTTCTATCCCCGTTACCCTCCCTTCTCTCGTGCCCACCTCATGTTGTGCAGAGAGGCGCTGGCAGCCAAGGATGCCACCACTGTAGTACCTGTCAGAACATTATAGCTTATGCTGTTATGTAGGCTATAGTGGGGTATCCCATAGGGGGTACAACCCAATTAGGGTTTCCTATATGTACTCACTTTGTTCATAGTTCACTCATTCGCGTTCTTCTTTTCACATGGAATCAGAGCATGTCCCCTCCTAGGGACTGCTTCTAGGGCCCACCGAAGCGCGCCGCGAGGCGCGTTTTCCTTTTTTTTAGCGACCCTCCGTGTCGCCCCTAGCGGCCCGTTGCGCCGCCCTTACCTACGCGGCCCCGCCGCCCTTAAGTCACCCATTTCTCTCAATGCTTCTGTCACCACTGCCTTCAGCAACCTGTTGTGAATTACAGCAAGCAAAACACAGTGAGAGAAGCAATAAACACTTCCATTCCTTCCAACTGGACGGGATTTGACTGGGATCCAGGCAATTAAAGACTTCCATTTCATCTCACCCTCTTCATGTAGTGTGCTGCACTGTGTCACCGAAGACCACACAGTTTTTGAACCAGCCAAGTTGAAGGGCACGAGTGAAGGGCAGGCATACTATAAACAATGTGAAGCGTTTGAAGAGTAGATGGATGTGGTATGGAAATGAGGCGGGGGATGAAGTGCACGGCACAGCTGCCCCCATACTACCTTATCCCATAAGAACACACGATTTGGGCCTATTCAGTATGAATAAGAATCAAACTCACACACATGGCTGGTCATGTGGTTCACATACAGCATAAGCTGAACCCACTTCAGCCACGCTTGTTCGGCGATGGTATGAAGGGCAGGTCATGGTGCGATCTTATGATCAAACTGCTGACAGCAGGAAGAGAGGATAGGGTGGATGAGATATAAGGTATGAGATGAGGTACGAGACGAGGCATGGGATGAGGCATGGGATGAGGCATGGAATGAGTGATGGGATGAGGTATGGGATGAGGTATGGGATGAGGCATGTGGGATGAGGTATGGGATGCAGTATGGGATGAAGTATGGGAGAGGTTTGAGATATGGGATGAGGTATGGGATGAGGAATGAGGTGCACTTCCAAAGCTGTCCCAACACTGGGCTGACATGATGGCTAGTGGAGGAGGAGGACGTGAGAGGCAATGGGAAGGCAATGGTGGGTAAAGGAGGATGATGGGGGGCCGAAAGGGACTCTTGGTTCGTGCATATGGGGTGATGTAACGAGGAGCATGACATGATAGGGTGAAGGGCATAACAAAACGAGATCAACCGGGTGGCAGGGGATGCTGGGGTTTGATGATGAATGTATGAACCAACTAAGGGAGAGATTGTGGCTACAGTGATGCTGCTTGGCAGGAGTTGTGGGGATGCAGATGGGAGGGTGATGGTGTGAGGAGGACCTGAGATGGGGATGGACAATTGGTTTATGTTCAGGTTGAATGGCAAGAAACGGTTGACAGATGAACGAGGGTGCCATGAAGTGAAGTGACGTACAGAGCACAATGTAGTTGTACGAATGAGCAACACGGCATGCGGGGAGGGTGGAGGAGCTGAATGGGGTGAGCGGAGGACTTGGAGATGAGAAGGGAGACATGAGGGAGAATGACAGGGAGGGGGTGGTAAGAAGGATACGAGATGGGTGCACAAGAGAGAAGATGGGAGGGGAGGAAGGAGGGGGAGCAGTGGGGAAGGAAAGGGAAGTTGAGGGAAAGGAGAGGGGGGGAAGAAAAAGGACGAAGGTGGGGGATCAAATGGCATGATCATCCAGGAGGGAAAGCTCCTTCCGCCAATTCAGCCTCTTTGTGCCCTGCTAAGTTGCAAAATACGCTTATAGCGTATATACGCGTATCGTATATACGCTATACGCGTAAGGGAGCGATTTGGACATACGCTTTTTGGGGCAGGAAAAAAACTTTCCCGGGCAGGGAAAAAAATCCGCCCGGGCTATTATAGGGGGGGGGGGGGGGGGGATCTAAGGGGTTATGCTTCAGAGGTAAGTTTTTCTCCATTCCAAGATAACCACCCTTGTCTCGGCCCAAAATCGGGTTAAGATGCAGAGTTCGTAGGCTATAGACTTCAATAGCGTTGCGCGAATCTGCTCTGCTTCGGGCTCGCTATCCCAAGGCATGATTGCTAGAGTGTATGAGGAGGCGTAGGAGAGATCCTGGACAGGGAAACCATTGCCAATGCTGGAATTCGTGCCCCACACCCATCGCCAATGTTGCCTCCAACCAATTCCCCCTCCCATCACCTATCTTCACCGCATTGCATCTATCTCATCCAACCAATTTGATATTTGAAATTTGTACAGTCGTCACGTCACTTCCAGTCCAGATCTACAAGACGTTGATATAGGGAGAGTCTTTCCCCCCATCCCTTCTGCGGGAAGAACCTTCAATCTGCGCGGATCTGCAGGGAAGGGAAATTGCCGATCAGCGCGGAGATTGCCGTTCACTCTTGCACAAATCGCGGACGTGAATTTGACGGTGGCAAAATGCTCGTCGTGCAATCCCGCATCTTTCCGTATATTCATATTTTTTTCGGTCGGGCTGCCCCAAAAACAATTGGCAAGCGTATAGCGTATTAGCTTGCGTTTAGCGTTTAGCGTGTAAACGCTAGCGTATATCCGCTAAACGCAGTGTCCTGAGCGTATTTTGCAACTTAGGTGCCCTGAGTGAACCCATATCGAAACGGCCCAGGTTCGACTCGGATGTAACAAAATTTTCCGAGTTGCAATGGAGGAGGGGTGGGTACATGGAGAAGGGGGATGGGGTGCGGTTTGCGAAAA